CAGGGCAAGAGGGGGCCGGGATCTGACAAAGATTTTCAAAGGCTGCCTTTGCCTTTGGGGAGTTAGTCTCTCTACGAGGGAAGTGCAAGTACTGCTCCCAGGTAGCTCCCAGTCTCAAGGAGGATTGACATGGCCCTGGCCCTCAGGATGCTCCCAGTCCTTACAGAGTATCTAATCTGAGGGAGAAGACAGAGCCTCTGCCATCAGACATTTCTTTGGATACTAGTTTCGGGTAGGCACTACCCTGCCTCCGTTTGGCTGTTGCACTGTTTGAAGTCACCGCATGCTGGTACCCCATCCTTACCTCCAATCTCGATGCTCATTCACAATGCTCACAGAGCTTCTCTCATGTTTGTCATCAGGCATGTGTGGCTCACCAGCCTGGGCCCCGATTTTCTCCACACATCCCCTGATGGTCCCTGGGTCTGACTCCAAGTGGAGCAGATGCCAGTACATGTCCCTTTCCTGGGCTTCTCGTGTCTCCTCTGCTGAGAACCCTATTCATCATTAGCTCCTCAGACTTCCTGCGGGAAGACTGCTCCTCTACTCCCTGTCTGTAGCTCATCCAGTTGTCCTGGGGCTGGAAGCCTCTGAGGAGGTGGGGTGATGTCCTGTGAGGCCCGGCCCATCGGGACCTCTCTTTGGATGCCTCTGCAGAGCCTAATCTGGGCCACCCTCCTGGGTCTGCCACTGGAGAAATTATTTCCCTGCACCTCAACTTTCTCATGTCTAAAATGGGCACAATAATACCTACATGGTGGAGTTTAAGGGCCTGAAGTGACATTGACATGTAAAAGTACCTCATGAAGTGACAGGTACATAGGATGTCCTAAAAAAAAGTCATTGTCATCGTGTTGTTATTCTAGTCTCCACACTAAAGTTTTTTCCTCTCTGACCACCCCCTTTAGTACATTTTGGTCATTTGTGGGGCTTTTTTCCCACTTTTTAAAAAAATCTGAAATGGTCTGGCTGGATTTTATAATCATCTTTGCAAGCAGGCATCCTTATTCTCCTGCTGAGGAGTGAGGCATGCCAGAGCAGGTTCAGCCCTGGGGCCCAGCAGTGAGAGAAAGGGATTGGACTGAAGGGAAAAGAGGGTGTGGAGAGCCCTTCCTGGTAGGGATGATGCCCTGTGGCTTTGAGCCCAGGACCAGGTACAAGGTGGGCTTGGACGAGTATTTGTGGAATTAATGAACAAATGAACAGGAGCAGAATGCATGGCCAATCTTCTCTTAGGTCCCCCAAACACACTGGGAACCTCCAGTCTGATGGAGGAGGCCGGATGTCTACCCTTATATACACAGCTGTCCTCTGGGCAAGAAATGCTGAGGCCGGGCAGGGCTGCCTGGGCCAGGCTGCAGGGGATGGATGTCCCCAGGGCTGTCTTCAGAAGCTCCCTCAAGGTGAAAACCTGTCTGTTCTAGGATCTTTAGGTGAAATGGTTCGTGGTATAGGTAGAGAGGGGCCTCTGGGACCCAGGCAGGGGAGAAGCCCTTCCCTGGGACTTTGGAGAGCTGGGAGCTGCCATCTCCCAGGGATGCCACAGGAGGATGTCTTCTGGGGAAATATTCAGGGAGGGTGTTTGCTTATCTACTTGCTTTTGGCTCCCAAAGGCATCTCCACCCCCACCCCAGGTATTCCCTACTTCACTCCCCGGGGCTCCCTCCCAGCTGCTCTCCTGGCCAGCTTGAGAAAGAGAGAAGATGGCAGGGCTTGCTGGGCCCCTGAGGCTGGGAGTGGTGGGGAAGGCCTGGCCCCAGCAAATGCCCTCTCGAGGCATCCTCACTCCTGGAGTGAGACTCCTGCTATAGATCTTCCGCATAGGCATATCCACAAGGGCTCGCACACACACAAGTGTGACAGGGGTCACCATCCCCAGTCACGGGGTGGCCGCCTGGTTGGGTAAGGGTTCCCAGGGGCTGGGTGAGGCCCAGCTGGGGGAGCCAGCATCTCGGGACGAACCCCCATGGGGCTGGGGGTTGGGGGCTGACCTGGCTGCGGTCCCATGACCTGGAGCTGCCCTTTGGGAACTGCTGACTGTTCAGCAATAAACACCTCGTGGCTATTAATAGTCCTCTATGTGGCAGCCCAGAATTGATAACACTGCGTCACTTCTGGCCTGGCCCAGCCTGACTGCCTGGGTTCAAATCCCAGCTGCAACTTCTGAACCCTGAGGTCCAAAACCCAAACCCCAAACACAGCCCCAGCTCTGACAGCTTCTCAGTTATGTTTAGGACAATTACCTTTCTGCATCTCAGTTGTCATCTGTGAAAGAGGCACCATGATATCTATTTCACAGTGTTTTGTGTACACATGATCATGTCATCCTCCCCACACCAGACGTAGGCAGTAGTGTCCCCATACTAGAGCTGAGAGTGCTGGTGCTCGGGGAAATGCGGATGGTCATAGGAGGATGACTGGCACGCAATAAGGGCCCAATAAAGGTTAGCTATTGTCGTGATTTGGCACAAGGATGTGGGAAGAGAGGATTTGAAATCGGACAGAGCTGAGCTCTGCTTTTGACATCAGTAGAGTTTTCTAGCTCTGTGACCTCGGGCAAGTTGCTGGATCTGTCTGGGCCTCATTGTCTTTCTCTATAAAATGGGCATGGCAACACCTACCTCCCAGGTGTTGATGTGGATTATATTAGACAATGAACACACAGTGATTGCCACTTAAAAGGGAAGGAGGGAAGAAGAGACCTGGGGCTGAGGGGAAGAGTTCAGCTCGATGCTGGTAAAACCCACCCCCAGTCCCCACTTAAGGGGCTCAATAAATATGGTACTTGTAGAATGAATGAATAAATGAACATTAGTCACCTCACTCTGTCAGGGTCCCCAAGAGCAGGGGCAAATTCTCTCTGATTAGCCCGTGTGCTCCCTGAAGGTGAGGGTATGACCTTGGGCCTTCTCCCTTGGGGAGAAAGGGATCTACGGATCCCTTTAGATGAACCATCTAAAATACCGAGTCTTTTTTGGGATGGTTCATTCTCTTGGTGTGGCAACAGCCAGTGCAGAAACCCACAAGGAAAAACGGAAACAACTTTTCCTTTCCTTCTTGTAGTGAGGTGCAGGCAAGGTATGCTGCCCTAAGCCCTGGGCACAGAGTCCCAGGCCTACAATTAGTCCCCTCCCAGGATGTGGCCCCAGCTTCAGCTCCTGGCTGCATCCCTGGCATTGCTTTGTGCCTCCCTCCCCAAGTCCTATCACTTACCCCCCATTCTGGGGACTGGGAAAGGGGACATTTTGCCGGCAAAGATTATGGGAGTCCAGGGAATGCCTTCTTGTTGAGGTCAGTGGGGCTCATCCCCTTTCATTGTGACTGTGGTGACCCCAAACACTCCCTTGGTACTACCTAAGTGTCTGGCAGCCACATTAAAAACTCAAATGGTGGTGCTGGTGGTAAGTGGGAGGGCACACAGTGGGGAAAGAGGGCAGAAGAGACACAGGGGTGAGGGGAAGGGCTCAGTTCGATGCTGGTAAAACCCTCCCCCAGGCCCCATGACTTCGGAGAAACTGCCCCTCTCCTAGCCCGCCCCCCAGATGCCAGTGGTGTGCCAGCCGTTGGCGTTTGCCTCACAGGAAGTGTCCCTGGAGTCTGGCTTATCTCGAATGGCCTGGGTTTCTGCTGGGAGGGGGCAAAGGAAGCCATTTGTTCCCTTGCCCACCATCACATGTCCACTCCAAAGGCTATCTCTTGCACCCCAGACCATCCTCTCTCCCTCTCTGAAAGTGGGAAGGAGGTATCTGTGGTCTGAGGACTACCTACTGGGGGATGGGGGTCCCAGAGCCCCTCATCTCTGTCTCACCCCCGCTGGGTCAATACCAGATACCTGGACATGAAGCACTTCCTCAGTTTCTCCTGCTGTCTGTTAGTCCTGCATGGGCCTCAGGCCTCTATGGTCAGCTGGCCTTCTAGGTCTGAGGAGAGAAGATCCTGGAAGTACGTTGTCAGACGCAGCAAATAAAAACATGAGGTGCCCCGTAAAATTTTCATTGTTTGTGTGGAATTCAGATTTAACTGGGCAACCCGTACTGTGTCTGGCAACCCTGCATGGAGGGAGTGGCTGGACCTCCCTCTCGAGAGTTCTCAGGTGCTTTGCTGCTCCTCTTCTTCCTCCCCAGCCTTCTCACTGCTTTGCTGCTGAGGTGTCCAGTGGAGACATTGTGTGTGGGCCCTCGTTCTGGATTTGTCTTCACTTTCTGCCTGCAGCAGAGATCTGAAACAAATCAGGAGCTCTCTGAGGGCGCAGTCAGTGTCTCCCCGATCAGACTGGGAGCCTCCTTTGGATTGAGTCCGTGTGACCTTGCAGCCAGCCCACTCCCCTTTCTCCTTTTCGTCGTGCTCAGGAGGACCTGGCGCTGACCCTCAAGGCTGACCTTTTCCATAGGCTCAGCATAGCCTTCACTGCTGTGGCCTGCAGAAGCTCTAAGAGAGCCTTAGTAAACATCCGTCTCCCCCTTCCTGATGACCTGTCGGTGGGAATTCTCTTCCCTAGTCCTCATTCTGCAGGCAGCTATCTCAGAGTCCCTCAGGCTCTGGAAACTTCCAGTGGAAAAATTCTCTGGGAGCCAAGACCCCAGAGCTCTGGCCGGGCCTCTGTCACCAACCAGCCCTGTGACCTCAGGTAGCTCTTGGTTCTTCTCTGGGCCTCAGTATCTCTACCTGTACAATGGCACTATATCTAGCTTGCTGACCTTGGAGTAGGGTTTCTAAACTGTACATTGTGATCTATGTGGGTCATGAAGTCGATTTAACAGCATGCAACCAGCATGATTCTTTTTCTTACATAGGAAGGAGAATAGGGTACAAAATATTTAGTCTTGCATGGAGTAAAGGTAAGTATTGTTTCTTGAAACTTGTGTGGAGTGTGTGTGTGTGCGTACATGTGTTCTGGGTCATGAGGTAGGAAGTATTTTTCAGGGGGTTGTGGTAAAACAAAAAAGTAAGGAAGTCGGTACTGGAAGCTGTGACAGAAGGGTGATAGTGGCAACTGGAGACCCAGACGTGGTCTCTGCTATTTCTCCACGTCACGGAGATGACAGGCCCACTTACAACCTCCTGTCTGGGGTTCTTCTTTGCTCTCTTGAGTAGTCTTCCCGCCTTGCCTCTGCTGAGCTCATGCCCCTCTCTACTCAGAGCCCGGGGCCCTCCCAGCTGAGAGCTCTCAGGAGCTAGCCTGGTCCCCTGGGCCACTCCAACAAGAGAAGAAGATTCTGGGATCCACAGCCTGGTGGTGTCCAGTCTGCCCAGCTGCCTCCGGCCTGGTTCTGCCTCACGGTAATAATACTGGATTGGGAAACTGAATCTTGGGCCAAGTGGAGGAACATGGCTCCCTCCTAGCTTTCCCAATGCCCTGTACCCTGGGAGGGATACTCTTTAACCCCTTCCTAGGGGTGGAGGAGGTGTCTGCTGTCCGGGTGGGTGAACAAGGACAAATAGAGTGTGAGTGGCTGATGACCCTCAGCTTTGTGGCTCCTGCCAAATCTCTGATTTCTGGACCACACTGCCCTGTCTTTCCTCTAAGGAACCATATCCTGGTGTGACCCACATTACCCGGGAGGATTTGAGGATAATACAGGTGGAATATGGGAGAGACCTGGTGGTGATGGCTATTTAGATGGTTTCATCAGTACATGGCCCCCTCTGTGTGGGTGCTGTCATCCTGGGTCAATTCACAGAGAAGAAACCAGGCTGAGAAGAACTCGCCTGGAGTTGCATCATGCTCAGTCAAGAGAGGAAGAGTTGGAAAAAAAGGTGAGACTGAAAGCTCTTGACCTGTTAGAGAGTCAGGAAGAGAACAGCCCCATCCTCAGGGAGCCCTAGTCTGAGGGAGACGCAGCCTCATTCTCAGGGAGCCCCAGTCTGAGGGGAGACACAGCCCTGAGTTGGGGAGTCCTAGTCTGAGGGAGACACAGCCCCGTCCTCAGGAAGCCCCAGTCTGAGGGGAGACACAGCCCCGTCCTCAGGGAGCCCCAGTCTGAGGGGAGACGCAGCCCCGTCCTCAGGGAGCCCCAGTCTGAGGGAGACGCAGGCCCATCCTCAGGAAGCTCCAGTCTGAGGGAGACGCAGCCCCGTCCTCTGGGAACCCCAGTTTGAGAGGAGACACAGCCCCGTCCTCAGGGAGCCCCAGTCTGAGGGGAGACATAGTGATGCCCAGAGTTGGCTGTTTGAGTAGGAGCCTTTTTTTTTTTTTTTTTTTGAGACGAGTCTCGCTCTGTCGCCCAGGCTGGAGTGCAGTGGCCGGATCTCAGCTCACTGCAGCTCCGCCTCCGGGTTTACGCCATTCTCCCTGCCTCAGCCTCCCGAGTAGCTGGACTACAGGCGCCGGCCACCTCGCCGGCTAGTTTTTTTTGTATTTTTTTTTTTTTTTTTTAGTAGAGACAGGTTTCACCATGTTAGCCAGGATGGTCTCGATCTCCTGACCTCGTGACTCGGCCCATCTCGGCCTTCCAAAGTGCTGGGATTACAGGCGTGAGCCACCGCGCCCCGCCGAGGAGGAGTCTTTCAGGGCATTGCCATTCTTTGTCATGCTTGACTGTAGCCAGAGGTGTGGTGTGATCTGAAGGGTCCCGGGCAGGTGTCCTCCTTCCCCCTCCACCGTGCCCACTGTCACCCTCCTAGCTCTTTCCTTTCATTAATTCACTGTAGTCCGTAATCACCATGGCCCACCTTAGATTAAGGTCTAGAAAGGATCTTGGAGCATGTGAGTCCAAGATCAGAGGAGGAAACTGAGGCCCCAAAGGGGAAGGGGAGGAATCTTGCGTGAGGTCACCCAGGGAGTTAATAGCAGAGCCTAAATCTCAGAGCAGTGCTTTGGGCTTATGGAGAGACTCTGGGGGACATGGGGCCACCCAGCACACATGTGAGCAGAGGGGAGCTGTGAAGGAGTGTGTGTGTGTGTGTGTGTGTGCAGGGGTGAGTGCGGTTAGGTGTCTGGGTCCCCTGTGAGCAGATGGGTGTTCATATGGGTGTCTGCTGCAAGGCGTCTGGCTATTTTCCTGTGTCGCAGTGTGGGGTGGAGCAGGGAGGGATAGGCCTGTAGCAGGGACATCAGACTGGTCTTATGAGTCCTCCTGGCCCAACCCTCTTGAGACCAAGGACAGAGGGCGATGAGTCACGGATGACTCAGGTGCTGGAGGCCACAGCCACGCATGGCACGTGACAGCCAAGGAGGGCCAGGTCTATTTCTGGACTGGATAGACAGGTGACCCAGGAGGCTGACACTGAAATCTCTCTTCCTAGAGGACAGGAGGGATTCTATTCACAGGCTCAGGGCCTGGGCCCCTGGGATGGAGCTGAAAAGATGGCCTGTGGGCTTACCTGTCCCCTGGAGCTTTGCTCCACTGGCTGGTTGAGCTGTTACTTCAGCGGGACAGGGCTGTCCTGAGCCATCCCCATTCTCCTGGAGACGTGGGGTTAGAGTCACTCTCCACTGGGGATGAGTTCTCCCTGGCCCTTTGGATGCCAGCATCTAGCAGCAAAGCACCCCTGCCCTGCCTTGGTAATGCAGTATCTGACCACAGACAGGCCCTCTTCTTTGTCTGAGGCAAGGGAGCCAAATCCTTGACCTGCTGCTTGACCCCAAGGCCTAGGCCAGAAGATGAGGTAGTCTGGGGTGCAAACAGTGTCTTGGGTTCAAATCTCAACCTGCGACGTGGAGTTGCATTGTTTCCTCTTGGGGCCTCAGTTTCATCTTCTGTACCCCGTGGGGGTTGTGCTTGAAGGCTCAGGGGTCCCCTCTAGCTGGCTCCTCATCAGGCCTTGAAGGCTGGGCTGAGGGCAAGGCCTTGAAGCTGCCTCCTCTCTCACCTATGTTTGAGGTGGGGGACTGGGGAGGATTGGCTGAGGATAGAAAGTCCTGGCCTGGTGGGGCATGCCTCAGGGTCCCCGGTCACCTGAAACACAGTGATGATTACAGGGTGAGCCTCTGGGACCAGACACTGTAATCTGCTGCCCTCCTTCCTGCCAAGGGCCTACTGCAGCATTTCCTTCTGCTTTTCACAACTGTTTTCTAAGAACCCCAGGAAGGCAGAGGCCTCATCTCTGAGGGGTGCGGCAAAAGACTAAAGAAGAGGGGAGGGAGAAAATGGAGATGGTGAGAGAGGAAGCGAGAGAGGATGAAAGGATGAGGGAAAGGAGATGCTTGAGGTGTGGTAGACATCAGAAGGCTTTTCCCTGGTTGACAGTTTGAGGAAGAGGAGGGGAAAGAAGAGTGGGTGGGACCATTCTCTGCCTCTAACCTCCCAGCTTAGATGCTCCTCCTCAGAAAGACCGCCCTGACCTCGTTACCTAATGTAGCGGCCTCCTCCCTGCCTCAGTCACTTTCTATCAGTTGCTGCATTTAATGAAGAAGGGCTGAGTCAGCTCATGTCACTTTTTGGCTCAAATCCCCGCAGTGGCTCCTGGTTTTCCTCAGACTAAAGACCAAAGTCCTTACGATGGACTTCAAGGTCCTACATGATTCCTTTCCAAGAACAGCAAGGGTGTTCTTCAAACATATCTGGCATGCTCGTGCCCCAGGGCCTTTGCACAGCTTTCCCCCTCTGCCTGGAATGTTCTTTCTCCAGATATCTGCAGGACTCACTCTCCTGCCTTCTTCACGTCTTTGCTCAAACATCACCTTCTCAATGAGGCCTGCCCTGGGCATCCTATTTAAAATGGCAATATTCTTCCTACACTTGCCAGCCCTCTTACTCTATACTCTTTTATCTTTTTTTCTAAACACTTACCACTCTCTAATGTTTTCACAGTATAAAATGCATGTATTTATTATGTGCATTGTGTATTTTCTGTCTCCCCCCACCCTGAATTTAAGTTTTACAAGAGTAAGTGTCTTTGTTTTATTCATTGATGTGTCTTAAGTCCCTGGAATAGCACCTGACACACCACAGGTACTCAACTTGTGGAGCAAATGGCACCTGTCACTATGGGTGATGATCTTCTCTCTCTCTCCTTCTGTGTACACGCTCCCCACTCACCCATCGACCTCCCTGTGGATGCCACACTCAGAATAGCAGTTCCGTGAGAGCTGGGAACTGCCTATCTTGTTCATACTTGTGCCCTCAGCACGTGTCTGGTGCGGAGTAGGTACTCAGTAAATACGTGTTGGCTGGATGGGAGGGACTTGAAACAGAGGCCAGGGAGAGTGGGAAGACAGGGCAGTCACTGGTAACAGGCCCATAAAGAGACGATTCTCGAGGAAGAGAACGGAAAGGTGTCCACTGGTCATTATGAGGCCCCTAAGACCCTCCTATTTGAACAGAAGAGATGCTCCTTCAGATCTGTTACACATACATACACACACACACACACACACACACACACACAACCCAGGACCATCACACACCAGTATATAGAAGGAGAGAGCACTGGAAACTGCTGCCAGGTTGATGATGGCATCAGGCTTGATCACTGGGGGCTTCCAGGAGGAGGTGGCCTGGGGCTAGACCAGCACAGGAGGAAAAAAGTTCAGGACATCTCCAGTCAGAGGTAAAGAAGGATGGAGGAAAGAAAGAAGGAGGATGCAGCAGAGGTCAGGGAAGGCCCAGGAAAGAGGCAGGGCTGACTGAGGCTAGGGCTGAGACGGGGGCTCATCAAGGTCAGAAGCCTTGGGTTTGGGGTCCAGTAGGACCATGCAGGATACAGAGTTGGAGGAAGAGGCTAGATTTTCCCAACCAGAATCCCTAGAGGAAGGAATTTGCTGTGTCTTCCTCTGGGGTTTGCATTGACAGGCACAGGGCAGATGGTCAGTGTCCTCTGATTGAGGGCGCCCAGCAGGGGTGCCATGGCAGGATCTAATGCCCAAGTTCCCCTCAGAATGTGGCGCCGGGAATGTGATTCAGTGTATGATTCCAGCTGGTACTTTTTTCCAATAAAAAGAAATGCCTTCATTCTCAAAGAAGATGATTACAAAAGGAAAAAAAAAAAAAAAACTCTTGACTTACAAAAAGAACCATGCCCAAATCCAGTGACCACGGTTCGCACAACATGAAAATCAGATGAGAGGGAGCACAAGAGTGAAAGAAGCTCAAACACAGGGCGTGAGGTGCCCCTGCCAGCCCCGGTCCCTGACCACACGGCCCCGCCTTTGGCTGGAGGGAGAGCCCTGGCTGTCAGCCGCACGGTGTGGAAAGCCCAGAAGGAAAGCAGTTTTGAAATTTTACTTGTGATTGATACATTTTTGGCCATGTTGGCTATTTTCAGAGCCTGGCTGCCCCATCCTCTGTCACAGACACCTTTGAGTTCTTTAAATGGCTGTATCTTTTGTTGTTATATGG